GATAAGCGGAGGAAGACGAGAGACGAGAGATTATGCTATGACCTTGAGACTTTCCTAACACATGAGTCTTCTAAACACATTTCCCTGTTTGACTGAAGTTACCTGCACCTTGATTTAAGTGTTTGTAACTTTCGTAGGATTCATTCGAATCAGTTACTTCTATATGAGGATGCTGAAATTAACTACACATTTGCAGAATCTAGTTCTTTACTAAATATGAGGATAGAAGTTATGTACATACCTCTACCTTGTGTTAGCCAATCTATATCGTTTCTAAATTAACTGTTTCTGTACTTAAATATTGAACACCTTCTGAGTAGGTTAGTGAATATTTTCTGTTATTTTTGGTAAATCTTTATTTTGCCTCTACTTTTGAGCAGATCAGCTCCCACTTTCTTATCACCTTTTTAATTCAACATAGAGAGAGCAGCTCTTGCCCTTGACTTCATCATAGTTTGTCACGAGGTGGCTTTGGAGAGGTTAGGACCCAAGATGCAGAGCCAGATAAACGAGGCAGGAGGTGGAAGAAACGTAAAAATCCTTTATTAAGGAGTAAATCCAGGGAATGCAGGGCGCCAAAAAACAGAATCCAAAAATCCTAATTAACTAAACCTAGCGATTCCAAAAGCTAGAGAGGGGGACGAGACGAAGCTGACACAAACAACGAACCCACAACACACTGAGACGCAGACAGGGTTAAATACACTGGGGCAGGATGAGTGGGAGATGAGCTGCAGGTGTGTGGGGAGAGAAACCTAGTGAAAACAATTAACTAATCAGGGAGAGGAAAATAACATGACCCAAGAATAAAGACAAAACCTAAAGACAAGAGCAAGATAACTAATGATATGAGGAAGGAGAACTAAAGAACCGGTGAGAACACACTAAAAGAGAATAATAAATGAAAAGCTGAACCTATAGGAAAAAACAACAGAAAGAAAAACTACAGAGGTGTGACTAAAGCCCCATTCCCACCTGTACCGGGTCGGCCCGGGCCGGGCAGCGTAGGTTGATTACATACCTGGGTGGCCTGTAATTTTCCCAGGCCAACCAAGGCCCATTCTCGGCCCTCTTCCCGAGGGGTACTGCTTCAGGCTGACCTGGCCCAACACGCCCACTGTCCACCGATTGGTCAGGCCATGTATTACCCTCCCCTTCAATAACATCGTCTGATTGGCCCTGCGTTGTTATAAGGGGGACCACGGGAGCAACGGACCTGGGAGGATACCTGGGGAGGGGGAAAACCTAGAGGGGCTGCAGATCAGGGAACACATGAGGAAGATGCAGACAAGGACACATGAGGACGCTAGGTGACACATAAGGAGAACCTAGAGAGGGATGGAGAACACAAGGAGACACATGAGGGAGACACAGACACAGACCATGACATTGTTTTGTTATTGCTAGACAAGCATCATAAGATGACACTTGTCCTATATGGCCATTAGATTTGATCAGTAGCATGATGACCTGACAGATGTTCCTTGATGGTCACGTTGTTTTGAGAATCACCTGATTACATATGCATCTAGTAGTTTTTACGTTTGTCAGTCTTATTTTTGTTTATTTCTTGCTGTTTTCTAAATATAAATACTTTAGTTGTTATCCCTCTGCTTGATCTTTAAAATAAATTATAGCTCTTCCTCAAAGCGCTTTATACAGTGTACGTTTTTACAACTTACAAATTACAACTTACTTCTAACGTCCTTTCCTTTCCTGAAAGATTATTGAAGACAGTTGCTAACCATTTAAACATTCTCTCTCTCCTGATAATAACACTTTACTTGCCTTGACATTGAATGTGCTTCTACTAGTTTACCCGTTTAATCATAGATCCACTAGGATAAATACAATAAAGTTTATCTCTCACCTAATAGAATATTTACTAAGAAATCACAATGTAACCATAAAAACACTACTTGGTGTGTGTGTGTGTCTGCTCTGTCTTCTCGATCCCCAGTGAGTCGTGGAGGATGGCTGCTTATACTGAGCCAGGATCCTCTGGAGGTTTTTTCCTGTTAAAAGGGAGTTTTCCTCTCCACTGTCGCTACATGCTTGCTTAGTATCAGGATTGCTGTAAAGTCATTGACACTAGTCAGTGACTTAATGCAATTTGCTGGGTTCCTTATATAGGAATTAGGAAACATTTTTTTCTGATTGGCTTATTGAACTGACCTGTATTGGATTGTTTATTATGTGAAGTGCCTTGAGACGACTCTTGTCGTGATTTGAATTGAGCTGTATGCTCCAGACCAAAAATACTCCTGCTTTTACAGAGGTGGTCATACTGATGATCAGCTATAGCGGCTACTGTCCTCCTAAAACAGGCTATTCTCTATTTTCTGGTGTGGAGAAAATTGAACTTCTCTGATTGAGTGCACACTTTGATCAAATTTGTAGTTGGACATTATAAGCTTTTGCTTAAACTACACCCTTACTGTTAAATAGGCCGACTGGAACCAGCTGTTTGTCTTGTGCCAAAATAAACTTCATTCATTTAAATAATTAAGGATGAACATGGCTCCTTTCATCTGGATTAATAAATAAAGGTGTGACGGAAAGTATTCCCCTGACTGTATGTAAGAGTAAAAGGAGAAACAAATGGGCAGATTTCCAATAATTCAGACGTACTAAAGCTGGGTGAGATATCAGGGCTGTCCTACACAACGCACCACTGTCACTACAGAATAAATACCCTCAGACCCTTTTGACCTCAGTTTTCCTGTCTGATGTTCTCGTTACTTTCGTTGGATTTGAAAAAAACTTGAGACAAAGATGTAATTAAATAATGTGATGTACATTATTCACGCAGGTGCTCCACAACATGTAAGGATGTTTTATATGCAGAGCGAGTGGTCCTCCTTCACAAAAACTAAAGTAGAATCATGGACGTAGTTGGGGGGGGGGGGGGGGGGGGGGCATGTCCCCTCCACCCTCTCCAAAGTCAAGTTTTGACCCCTGCACTTTTTACCATCCAAAAACAATATTATGCTATATTAAATTGACACGGGTTGAGCTCTAGGACAAAGCGGAAAACAACCGTTTGTGTTGAAGCCTGTTTCCCATTAGAGCATACTGTAAAGATACCCCCCCCCCCCCCCCCCTATAAAGTGAAAATTAAGTCCATGAGCAGGATAAAGTGCACTGAACAAAAATAAAACCAAAACACAGCTTAAGCCCAAAATGTAAACAGATGTGAGGCAGAGCTTGAATTGGAAGAAACCCAGATGGATCCTCAACGTGTGACGTGAAAGTTTAACAGCACAGGAATATTGATGTGTGAACGCTCCCCTCTCCACCATGAAGCAGTGTTTCGCTTGCAACTAATTGTAAACTTTTTTGTGTCTGAAGCAGGTTTGATCCAGTCACAGCTGCATGCAGACACAGCAGCAGACTGAAGAGCTCGAGCGCCTCTTGTTGCGTCTTTGTTTTGTCGCCGTCCTCCTGCTGTCTTGAGCTCCATAGCAGAGCTGTGTTGGGCTCAGAGACATTGTGCCTCTGAGCATCAATAAAGTCCCACAGCAGCGAGAGCTGCAATCACCAAGGCAGCAGGACAACTTCCTACCATTCACTCTCTACTTAACTAATCACAAGAACAAAGTCCTTAAATCTGGAGGCTGGTGCAACTCATTTGTCTCCTTGTGCCTCAGCCGAACTTTAAAACGAAGGGTAAAATCAAGAGTAGAGCAAGTGTGAAATCTTGTGGCTCTGTCCCAAATTATTCAATAAACTCAGTGGTCTCTCTCTCTCTGCCCAGGAAGAGCTGATTTATTGCTTTTATTTGTCCTATTTTTGTCCTGAGGAACTAGAGGTGGTGAGACCACTGGGCCAAACACAAGATGGAAAAGAGGCTACACCAGAGAATGTGGAGATTCAGTGGAAAGAAATGGACTCCAGTTTTGTAAATCCTCCCCTCCAGCTGTCACCCAACTCACCATCCCATGGGGGGTTGCCAAGGTGACAGGAGGCCACACGTCTTGGGGGCGTCGTTTTGGTCAAAGGACCCCATTGTTCTCGTGTTAAGCTGTCTTCACCATGCCCGTCTGCCAGGGGTGGGGGCTTCACACAGATCACACACACCCCCGCTCAGCAAACACAACCAACACCCGCTGGCCTGGTGGTGCTGCACTTAGGCCGAATACTTAAAACTCTTAAGAACTTTTTAACACAAAACAAGTTCTCAATCAAGGATGCAGTTTGGAAAAAACTGCATTTTTATAACAAATAAAGTTTAAGAAGTTAAAATTTTTTTAGGAACTTCATATCAAAGATGATCCATATTTCTCAACGTTCCAGACTTCTTTAATTTCCCTGATGTTTACATGTAACTGCACATAGCTGCCACACGATGGCAGTGTGTCCCCACTACATCCACAGGTTCATTCGTCTCTCTGTGGGGACACGGAAGACACCTTGGCACACAGTGGAGACAGAAACCTCCAGCATTCTTCTGCCAAGTGACTGTCTTGATTTAAAGGGAGGTAGTCAATTACAGCGTGATGGATAGATTACAGTCGTGCATCATCCGGGAAGCCAATTGACTGATGTGGACTGAATCTGAAACTCAGTATGTCACAGCTCTGTTCTTCTCTGGTAGATAGATGAATGGGGAAAGTGAAGAGCAGCTGATCTGAATCCACAACTGGAGGAACTCTGGGTTGCAGGTCAAGTTACTTTAGGTCAGTTCGTTTGTTTCTAAATGAAAACCCGAGCGGTTGTTTACACCAGTGTTTCCTCAGGGACCACTGTCCTACATGTCTTCCATGCCTCTGCTTCAGCACATCTGATTTACATTGGCTCCCAGGGAGGACATCATGTGCTGCAGCTGCCTGTTAATCACGCATTAATTTAAGCCAGGTGTGTGGCAGAAGACACACTGGGGTTTGACAGGGCAACGTGAAAACGTGCAGAACAGTGGTCCAGGGTTGGGAAACACTTCACAGCTCGGTTCTGGACTTATGAGGGGAAAAAAAGACCCTCAAACTAAAGGAACCATCATGCACATTCACTGTTTTATTGTTTTAAATGAAACGGGTCAAATGAACATATTTAGCTTTAAAATGCCTAAATATAAAACCTCTGAAACAAAGAAAGATGCAGCATCACAGTTTAGATCACAGAAACAAGAAACACTCCAGAAGCCTGAAACACAACTTTATATGTGCGGCCATTGTTACTCATCGATGAGGGAACACAATGACTTGATCCGATGACTCTGGAGAGAGAGGGGGGTGAAGATGTGCTGATTTAAAGGGGATGGGGGATGGGGGGGGGGGATATTGATTAGCTGGGTCACTAGAGGGAAGCTGTTAAAAATGGCTGCTTAGATCTAATATTTCACAGGAGAGCAGCAACATTTCAGCCAACGTAAAAGTCCTCTCTTTGGAAAAGTCAATTCTCTTCAGGAAAACATCTCAAGGATGCAGAAAATCACTGGTTGTCCCCTTCTACCATCAGCTCTTGCATGTCTTCAGAAAGTGGAGGCTGGACGGGCACGATGCCACTGAGTCGTCTCCTGGTCGCCCTGCCGGTCTGGCCGACCGAGTCAGAGGGAGTATACGGCAGCCAGACGAGTCCGCTGCTGCCGTTATCGGAGCGCCTCTGGTTCCTAAGACTACGGCGAACCGAGCGCTGCCCTCTTCTGGCAATAGGTTTAAAAACATCTTCTAAATTAAAGTCAGCCTGCCAAGAGTAAAGGATCTCATTGCCCCCCCCCTGCCCATCCTGGCTGGGTCCGTGCTGACCTTCTGCTCGCTCAGTCATTCCAGCTTCAGCCACATCACTGACGCTTTGGCGTTTCTCTGCACACTTCCTCCTGCCCTGTTTGGCAGGTTGTGACTGTGTGTTGCTAGAATCCTCAGCTGAGGGTGGGCAGCAGGGGGAGGGCGCTCGCAGACCTGCGTGATGCTCTGGTGTTCCGGTGTCGTCCGAACGGGGAGAATCTGGAGAAACCTGAGCACCAGGCTCTTCAGAGTCAACGCTCTCCACGTGAAACCCACAGGGCTCTGATGGGGTTCCCTCAGAAAACCTGACGCTAGAAGACGGAGGATCTTCAGGGACGTGCTCAGAATTTTCCACTTCCTGGATCCGAAGCTGCTCACAATCAGACGCAGCACCCTTCCCTTTCTTCCCTCTCCTTCTGACGGTTGACCTTGGTGGCAGACTCTTTCCTCTACCAGAGCCGGGAAATGTGACAGAATCCGGTAAAGTGCTTTTTATGGTTTCCGTCACAGCGAGGTCCTCTTGTGCTCGAGTGTCATTAGCAATCTCAGCAGAGGAGAGGGGCTCCTGATTTGAGGCTGTTGAAGAAAATGAGGACAAAACAATTTCAGAACACGGATTTCACTGTTGCCCTCCAGAAGTTTGGACTCATCTGGAGATGAACACAAACACTGGCTGTGTGCGCTACCTGTGCAGTTCTCGGTAGACTGCGGTAGTGCCGGAGACGGGCTGCTGAGGAACAGCTTCTCTTTGATGGGACTCAGCGTTGGTTTCTTGGACGCGTATTTACGTGAGCCGTACAAGGAGCGGTCTACGTCCTTTTTCCAGAGACAGGCGGCCAAGGAGGACATCTGTAAAACACCCAAATACCACTTTGATTTGATATTTTCCCACAGCTTAACTGCAGCATATCACACACGAGTCACGACTAACCAGCACACTGAGAGAAGGCCTTTATCATTCACTAGCACTGAGCACAGTCCTGTTTCTTTCAAATAAAAGCTCTGAAGCTAACGTGGATCTCATTTTGAACTGAAGGGAAAAACAAAAGTTTGGGAAATGACCGGCAGACTGAGGACAGGACACGAGTCTTCCAGAGAGGGACAGACCATAGGACAAGCATCTCATCTCAACCAAGAACCCAGTCATAATTAGGTTTTTCTTCTGAGATCTTGAAAACGAGCGTTGGGACATGACACATCAGAAACCCTCTGCTTTACTGCAGCTGCTGCTACATGATGAGTTTAGATTTAATCTGTCACAGACAGCACGAACAGATCCCACAAAAGGAAGACGAACCTCATCTCATCTGGTCCAGGTTTTCAGATATTTTAGTTTATTTGGCTCAACTTGTGAAGCAGAAATTAACCCTGTGTGGTGAACATACACTGTCCTCACAGCACGTAGCTTTGTAGCTAGCAGCTAGCAAACCACTAAAACAAAACAAAAGGCTTGGTAAATGGCCCGTGTTTGTATAGCACCTTGTTAGGGTTCTACAACCCCCCAAGGCACTTCACCCAATCACACACGGGTGGGGATGAGCAACATTGCAGCTACAGCTGGCCTGGGGCGCACCGACAGAAGGCCTGCCGTACACGGGCGCCACCGGTCCCTCTGGGTTAGGTGTCTCGCCCAAGGACACAACAGCAGCATTCTCTGGTTGGAGCTGGGATCGAACGGCAACCTTCTGATTGTTGGACAACCCGCTCTACCTTCTGAGCTACTGCTTACCTTTTTAAACTAAAGATCTTTATAAATGTTTTATAACCACAGCTGCAATACACAGAAAAGATCAAATACATCACTAACTAATAAGCACATCTTACAGAGGATGAGGTTCAGCTGCTGTTGGAGACAAAATAAATATGGCGCTTTTCCTGTTACTAACTTACACTAAAATAGTCGTCATTTTGCACAGAAAATGTTTAAACTTAAGCATGAATGATAGAAGATATGTGATGTCAGGGGCGTCGTTAGGCCCGGATACTTGGGCTCAAGCCCCGAATGTTTTATGGAAAGCCCCGGATCTCAAACGTGGAAGTAACATGCAGTACCAAAGTCCAACAGAGAGGGAGCAGCTGGCAGTAGTTTGTATACAGCCTGCCTGAGCCTCCACCACTGAAGAAGAAGCCCTTCAGCAGCCGGCTTCTTCTACTCTCTCTGCCTGAAACGCATGAGTGAAGATGGACATATGGACGTTTTTTAGACCAAAAGTACCGCGACAGAACCCCAGCTTTGATGAGACTGGTGTTGACTCAGCTTTGTGAGTCTTATTTGAAAATATTTGTGATCTGTAATATATATGATGTTGACTAGTGCGTGTCACGTGTGTGTGTGTGTGCGCATGTGTGTTAAGCCTGGGATCTTCTTCAGTCCTAAAACCGCCCCTGTGTGATGTTAGTTTTACTGTTGGGGGGCTGGGGGGAGGGGGTACTCTGTACTTTTCTACACTCCAGCAAACTTAAGTTGCAGAGGTGGTGCCGACATCAGCCCTGCGACTGACTGACCAGCTGGGTGACGAGGCCTCGGTGAAGTGATGTAAGGATCAGACACGTCTGGCTCACCTTCATCTTCATGCAGGCGGACTTGGCTGCTGAACGCACCGACCTCCTCACAGGTACCTCCTCCTCTGACAACTGAAAGAACAGGGTTAACCCGAGGATGAGTTATACGTCGTGTCATTGACACACACACACACACTGATTTGTTGGAATTAAACAGTAGATTATACGGGATGATGTTATGACCTCTGAATTATTAAAAAGATCAGCTTGTCTGACAAATGAATAATTCCAGAAGTGAGACAGGTTGTGGCAAAAGCGGACCTCTCTTTCTCTGCTGCTGGAGCATGCTTCAGCCTTCTGTGGGGTCTGGAAGGAAGAAGGAAAGACATTACTTTAGAGAAAAATTGCAAAAACTTTAAAGTTTATGATCTAATAAATATATATTTCGAAAACCAAAGCTTTGTGGCAGACCTTCTTTCTCCTCTTGGACGAGACTGCCTCAGGTGTTTTCTCCTCCGGAACAAACCGACACTCATCCACCTGAGAGCTTTGGCTGGGTTTGGTTTCACAGTCTGAGACATCAGAGCAGGTTAATGTTATTAACGACTATGCTGATCAGCAGCTGGTAAGCAACACAGACTACTCATGTTTGACTTGACTGATTCGAAATGATCAAAACTCTCAAAGATTTTATTTGTGGCATTTTGACGACATTTACAGAAACTATAACAGGGTATATACAGCAATCCTTAAGTAAAATTTACTACTTTTTAATACTTTTTTTTACTTCCTTCAGAATTTTTTTAAAACCATCACAACACTAAATTGCAAGTGTTAATCAACGACCTATTTACACATATTTTAACATATATAACATACAAAAAGAATAGACTTAGAGACTCACTGATGTTGACAACGTATTGCACATATTTATTTTATTTAGAAAATAAGCCAGGCACTTCTGTTCAGCGGTTCAGACAGTTGACCACGAGGCCTGAAATGATGCAGAACGACCACTGAATATGACGTCATCATTATGTGACCGGATATGCTAAAGTAGGGCTGCTCGATTATGGCAAAAACAATAATCACGATTATTGTGACTGAAATTGAGATCTCGATTATTTAAGAAGATTTTTCCATTTATGTAGATTTTTTTTTTTTTTTTATTCAGTCATAAAACTGCTCAGGGCACAATCAGGGCAAAAATAAACAAGAAACAAGATGATCACTAAAATAACTCCTGATTTTCAGTATAAAAAGACCAATGTACTTATAGCTCATAGTTTATGACCCAAGGGCTATAGACCTTGGTTTAACTCATTTAAGTCTAACCAGTACAGACCCAAATACCAATATCTTGCAAATACTGACAGCAAGAATTATACAGTGGCATTTATAACAAATACATGCAAATTGCTGTTCACTAAATGTTGCATAACATTTATTTAGTCATGTCAAGGTGCTGTAGGAGCGTGCACTAGCACCGTGTCCTCAGAGAGATTAGTTATTATTTATCAGCGTGAGGAACTTATTTCTACCTTATTTATAAACTATTTATTTACAGGTCCATCAGTTAATGTAATAATTGTCCCAACCACAGCTGCACCCCCCACCCCCAACCCCAACCCGGTGTCACAGCAATCGGGGCAAGCTGCACGTGTGTTTAGCGCGCCGCACGCGCACATTTAGCCGTTTTTATCGGCTCAGGAGTCCGCAGGTACGGTGTGTGTGTCACTCACTCTGGTTACTCCAACAGGGAACCGGCTCCGAGAGCCGTTTCTTTAGCGACCGACACATCACTACATCATTCCCTTTCCTAATGTCCCGAAGAACGGTCCAGAGTGCAGGCGGAGTGTTTAGCTAACCTGCAGGAAACGTCGACGACAGTTATCCAGAAAGTAGCTAAGGGTTACCAGAGATGTTTCTGAAGTGTTCGCTTGGTACTTTTAAGATTTAAAAAGTCAAGAAGGGGGTCTGAGAAGCTGTTAGAAATAGCGTCAAAGTCGCCAAGTTAACTTGGCAACACTGGGAGGAGCGCTTCATTTGCAACTCAAGGCAGCGCAAGTGGGAGGAGCAAATAATCGGCTTGTTTTGTTTTTATAATCGTTCAAAACATTTCATTCGGAATATATTTCTATGTCGATGTTCAGAATACGACATCTGATAGTCTGAAAAAAATAATACCTAATTTGGAAAAAATAATACCTCTGAGACCAAATTTAACACTTTTAATGGCCTTAAATTTGACTATTTTTATTTATCACTTTTTAATACTTTTTAAAACCCCGCGGACACCCTGTATAAAAGCATGATCAGTGTGTGTGTGTGTGTGTGTGTCATCAACAGTCTGAATAGCTACAGACAGTGTTTGTGTCTTTTATTTCCATATAACCAGTTTTATCCATCATCAGTGAGTGTGGCGTGAACATGGATATATGGATGGATGGATGGATGGATGGATGGATGGAGATGTACCCACACCAACATGGCTTTATGTGAAAAAGTTGGTCAGACCAGTAGAGGTAAGTAAACACTTGTCTGACAACTAGAATTAGGCTAAAACATCTCAAAAAGAAACATGTTATTGTAATTATTTCTAGTGACATTTTTTATTGGTTTAACTGAAAACAACAAAACCAGTGCTCCCAGTTGTTTACCATTAGACACTGGTGTTTTCACAGTCTAAATAACAGGATAAAAAAATGTTTCATTATCTTTCTGTACATCCCTACATTTGTACCGTGCTGTAGAAAGTATTTGCCTCTCATGCGTTTCTTCCATGTTTGCACGTTTGTTTTCCCTAAATGTTAAACATTTCAGACCGGCTTACCTGTCAGATCCTCAGAAGAAGCCTCTTCGTGGAACGCCATGTCCAAGTTTAACAGCGGGGTATACAGTACACACTCTAAAACACATACAGAGAGCCGGTTGACTTTAAAGCCATAACTCTAAAAATCCCAGAGTCAGAAAAACGTCGTAACGAACCTGTGTCGCACACTTCTGAGTCACTTTGCTCCAATGAAGGAAAATGGATCTGCGATGATAAAACAGAAAAACCTGTTTACTGCAGAATACCCGTCAAGCTGTACGAAGTGTTCACTTTTCATTCATCAAGTGTGTTTACGAGGTGAAGTGTAATCCCTACGTTACGTCTCAGTAATGGTGTGACAATCATGGCGAACCGTTTAGACCATCACCAGACACGCTGCCTACCTTTCCATCCTCACCGTCTTTTCCCTCGGACAGTCTGCGCTTATGAGGCATCACAAACGTGGGGGACGCCCCAAACTCAGAGGGATTGTCAAGTTCTGGCTCGTGTTGAGGCGAGTTGGACTCGCTCCTCTGCGGCGTCTTCAGCACAGAGCGCAGCAACAAACAACCACCGGGAGTGAGGGCTCGTACAGGGGTGCCCCCCTTCCGCAACGGAGTGCTGGGGGGCATCTTCTTATCAAAGAACTCAGGAGATAAAGGAGCTCCGAAGTGGACCTGCTTCCTCTTCTTGGCCACAGACGTCCCGGTGGAGTCGTCCGTCCCTGTAGGACAGCAGAACCTTCAGTGAGCTGTGTGAGAACTTATATTTTAAATGCTTCAGTGAAATGGTTTGTGTTTAAATTTACCGTTTTTGTAAATTCATTTAACATTTCTACACACTGCACTAAAAAAAATACTCTTCAGACAACAACACAGGAACAAAGAGGCCAACACCCATTTGTTCCATTTAGTCATGTAACAATAAATAAACGGATTCAAATGCAGGCATATCAGTGGGCAGAAGCAGGCTCACCACCACGAAAGGGCCTTTCACAGCTGGGGGGCTTTTTATCAACACAACACAAACAGGCATCAAAGGAAGGTTAACTGGAACTTCAAAGTCACGTTTATCAGGGAGAATGGTTCATTTTTCTTTCTGTTAGAGCCTTACGTTTTTAATCGATTTAATAACTTTTAAAGAAAAAAGATGGCTGCCTATCAAAATATGGGCACGGCCCTGAATCTGGCCTTTTGAAAAGTTATTTCAACAAAGTGATATTTATGGAAAATGCACATGAGGACAGAACAAGAGTAATATTTTAAAATTATTTAGGAGAAACCTGTTTTGAAACAAACTTTATAAACTAAAGGTGTTCACAGTATTTGGATCCTTAAATTAAGAATTCCCTCAATCAAGTCACCAGTACCAGTCTGTGTTCTTCAACGTTTGTAGATACAAGCAGCAGACTGTAATCACACAAAGGTGTGTTCTCAATCACAGCTAGTAGTAGACCGAGTGAGCGGTGTCTTTGATATTAGCCACCCAATAGGGAACCCCCCCTCCAGACGGCTCATGGGTCCCTGAACGGGGCTATAAAAGCTACTTTCTATCTTCTTTGCCTTACGTCCCGACTCACATGTTCAGGGTATATACAGCAATCCTTAAGTAAAATTTACTACTTTTTAATACCTTTTTTTACTACCTTCAGAATTTTTTTAAAACCATCACACTAAATTGCATGTGTTAATCAGCGACCTGTTTACACATATTTTAACATATATAACATACAAAAACAATAGACTTAGAGACTCACTGATGTTGACAACGTATTGCACATATTTATTTTACAATAAGCCAGGCACTTCTTTTCAGCGGTTCAGACAGTTGACCACGAGGCCTGAAATGATGCACAACGACCACTGAATATGACGTCATCATTATGTGACCGGATATGCTAAAGTAGGGCTGCTCGATTATGGCAAAAACAATAATCACGATTATTGTGACTGAAATTGAGATCTCGATTATTTAAGACGATTTTTCATTTTATGTAGATTTTTATTTTTTATTTTTATTCAGTCATAAAACTGCTCAGGGCACAATCAGGGCAAAAATAAACAAGAAACAAGATGATCACTAAAATAACTCCTGATTCCCAGTATAAAAAGACCAATACACTTATAGCTCCTAGTTTATGACCCAAGGGCTATAGACCTTGGTTTAACTCATTTAAATCTAACCAGTACAGACCCAAATACCAATACCTTGCAAATACTGACAGCAAGAATTATACAGTGGCATTTATAACAAACACATGCAAATTGCTGTTCACTAAATGTTGCATAACATTTATTTAGTCATGTCAAGGTGCTGTAGGAGAGTGCACTAGCACCGTGTCCTCAGAGAGATTAGTTATTAGTTATCAGCGTGAGAAACTTATTTCTACCTTATTTATAAACTATTTATTTACAAGTCCATCAGTTAATGTAATAATTGTCCCAACCACAGCTGCACCCCCACCCCCAACCCGGTCTCACAGCAATCAGGGGCAAGCTGCACGTGTGTTTAACGCGCCGCACGCGCACATTTAGCCGTTTTTATCGGCTCAGGAGTCCGCAGGTACGGTGTGTGTGTCACTCACTCTGGTTACTCCAACAGGGAGCCGGCTCCGAGAGCCGTTTCTTTAGCGACTGACACATCACTACATCATTCCCTTTCCTAATGTCCTGAAGAACGGTCCGGAGCGCAGGCGGAGTGTTTAGCTAACCTGCAGGAAATGTCGACGACAGTTATCCTGAAAGTAGCTAAGGGTTACCAGAGATGTTTCTGAGGTGTTCGCTAGGTACTTTTAAGATTTAAAAAGTCAAGAAGGGGGTCTGAAAAGCTGTTAGAAATAGCGTCAAAGTCGCTAAGTTAACTTGGCAACACTGGGAGGAGCGCTTCATTTGCAACTCAAGGCAGCGCAAGTGGGAGGAGCAAATAATCGGCTTGTTTTGTTTTTATAATCGTTCAAAACATTTCATTCGGAATATATTTCTATGTCGATGTTCAGAATACGACATCTGATAGTCTGAAAAAAATAATACCTAATTTGGAAAAAATAATACCTCTGAGACCAAATTTAACACTTTTAATGGCCTTAAATTTGTCTATTTTTATTTATCACTTTTTAATACTTTTTAAAACCCCGCGGACACCCTGCATGTTGCACTTAAGTTTAAATGAAAGGTAACGGTTTGTGTTTCGACTAAGTCTGTCATGTACTTTGAGATTTATTAGCTTGCAAAAACTTGTAATTAAAATAACTACAAATCAGACACCGCACATATGACACCACCACAGAGTTTCTTCTACCCCAGCGTAGCTGCTACTGCTACTCCTTCTGTCATCCTGGAGGAAGGACTCAGAGCTCACTAATATTTTCCTCTTCTCCGTGTCTGGTTCAATGGCGTCAGTTTGATGTCACAAACACACACAAAACCTAAAATAACTTTTGCCACCAGTTGAAAATAAGCGCTTTCTTGGCAACAAAACAAACTCATGAACATCAAACGTAGATTCCATAGCACATAAACTGGATCAAAAAAGAACTTCGACCCCTCTAGAATCCCATTCATCTGTTGGCCAGTTGGAGATCCATTGTCGGCAAGTAGATGGTTGTGACTTAGGCTCCCTGTTATAAAGGCAACAGTCAACACAACACCTCCTTCAGGAGGCGATTTAAAAATTCTCCACCACTACTTTTCTCCTCCTCCACAATTCCAAGTAAAATGGCACTGGTCACTGAACTAGCCTAATCTATTCCTGTCTAATTGGGACTAATGAATTAGTTTCTCCATGTGACCTTCTAAAGATAGAGTAGGCATCAGCTGTGTGTCTGCAGCAATACTGTTAAGATCACTTAACAGATTAAAAAGTTGTCAGACGTTTTGAAGAGAACCCCTCAAGTGCAGCTGCACACAAGCGTGAAAGCATAATATCACAATGCTGCACCAAACAAGGAGGCGTAGCACAGCAGGGCTGCACCACCTTAATGCTGGTGTAGCTTTCTGAGTGATAATAAAGGTGTCTGAAGCCATGACATTTTTATTTTCCTAGCGGATGTAATCACACGTCAACAGTGGCTCCACAGCATCTGCATGCTGATGCAGAAAGCAGCAATAAAATGCAGTCTTCACATTATTTTAATGCCCATCAACTGGTTTTGACAACAGTAAGAGCAACAAGAGCTGTGGAAAACTCCAGATTGAGACGTTATTGATTGTTAATAGGTACAGGGAGAAGTAATACGAGCTTCAAACTCAAACAAATGCATTGGTCAACTATCCTAACTAGTGACTGTCCAACTTCAGCATTTAAACATCCTTCATAGCCAGCACAGAAAGCTGTTGCTACTAACAACTAGGGATGAGCGAGTACACCACTATCTGTATCTGTTCAACCAACTAAATTATCTGTATCTGTACTCGGAATGGATGTGGCATAACCCGGAAGTGGGCGTGGTTTAACAGGAAGTGGGTGTGGTTTACATCAATATATTATTTTAAGTCTGAAATTGATATGGAATGATCAGAAGTTGATATGTGTATTGTTTATTTGAAAACTATTTACAGAGCAGCGTCACAATTGAGATTAAATATTTTTGATCATAATAGTAAAGGAACTATTACAGAACAAGTGTTTCAATAAAATTAGAACATTAATATTTAAGTGCATGGATTAATGCATCTGAACTCATGCAGTAGGAACTAGGAGATATGAAATGCTAGAACCAGACACAACTTTATGTATATTTTTAATTTTAATTTGATTAAACTGATTTTTTTCTTAACGTTCTTGGCATTTTGCCCCACACAAAGTTAAACAAAACAATGTGGATTGAGGTGTGTGTGTCTGAGAGAGATAGAGAGGGTGAGAGGGAGAGAGATGGAGTTAAAAAAAAATAAAAACCCGACCAGAGCGGAGATAGTGAGTGACTGACGCAGCATGTCAGCTCTGTCTTGTCAAATGCACCATGTAAGTTACGAAAAAAGTAACTTTAAATATTCAACTGAAAAAGAGGCGAGCTGAAGAAAACCTAGGGGAAAACTGAAGAAACGTGAGCAACAGTGAAGCAATCACAGTGAGATCCGTTGCTGTCTGTGTGCGTGCGTGGATGAGCCGGACCGACTGAGCTCCCGGCTGCAGTTTTGTGTGTAGGGAGGGGCGGGCGCTCTATGTGACTGGCCAATCACAGAGCGTGAAGACAGTCAGTTACCCAATGAGGATTTTCCTTCAGCATGATTACAGATATTTACGAGGTTTACTCGTCTCATGCTCGTATTCGTCAAAAATGCTTTATCCGTACCGGATACTCGTTTCATCCCTACTAACAACATCCCACTGTTAAGTTGAAATAAAGAAAACTGAAAAAGTAAATCTGGGTTAACAAACACTAGAGATGGTGCAGTTGAGAGGGACTTACTAACCCCGCAAATGAGCCCCAAAAACCTGCATGTAGCAGAATCCACCTCACAAAACCAAAACACTTTAATAAACATCAGGATGCAGGTTATCTGCTTTCAACTTGCAAATTCCAGGACAACAACCTGCCCACAAGATAATAATTAATAAGATACTGCCAGTGCTGTCCTCGGAGTCAGAGATAAGAGAGTCGGCTAAACAGTGTCACTTTAAAGCTGAGGATGAAAGGATGATCAGGGAGAACTGTGGGAAACAAAAGAATCCCCGAGCTCTTCAGTAAAACTGAAGTCCATGAACTGCAGATGTTTTAGGATTGCCCAGTAAACAATAAACTACCTGTTCACGAACAGTGAAGCATAGAGAGTGCTCTGCCATATTTATGTGACAGAAATAGATTCCCAGGCAAAACCGGACCTAGAATGCTTTATTACTCGCCTTTAACTTGGCTTTGTTTCACTATTGCAGTATGGGGATTACATAGCAATGGAGTCCCTGTTCTAATGCACAGTAACAGAAGATAAGATAGAAAACTCTTAATCACGTAATCTACACTTAAGCTGTAACCGCAGGTTAAACGTTACACTTGTTTTTTAAATTCCTGGCTTCATCATTACATCTCCTTAAGATGTTGTCATATACCGGAGGTTAAATCACCTGGCCCACAGAGCGCCAATGAGGAAAAAGTACACCTCGATGGAGGCTATCCACTCCAACACGGAGCTGGTTTTACCTGCAGGTTTGATCTCTTGAAGCAAAGACGGCTGGAATGGTGAAGCAGCTGCAGGATCACAAGACGGTGGTTGATGAGGGCTTTGGTGTCCACAAACCGCCTCCTGTTCACAGAAAAGGAATGAGAGTATTCACAAAGCTGCACTGTAGTTCACAGAAGAGGTTAAAGACCAAGTTCACTTGTTTTTTCATTTTCTTGAGTAAATGAATGGGTTAGGGTTGTGAAGCGATCTTTGAGGGGAAAAACCTCTGGTGCTCCTTTTGAAGGAACTAGAAGTGAGCCAGAGCAGAGGAGAGCAGCAGACGGCAGCGGGATGTGGAGTTTTCTGATGTTTGGACATCTCACCTCTGATTGGCTAACAGCAACGCGACTCTTACCACTGACTCCATTTGCTCTGCATCTTTGATGCTTTATCTCCACAAATAACAAGCCTGGAGACGTTCTGCTGTGTGGTGGAGTTGCTAATGGTTAGCTTCTACTAGCTCGGACACGCTTGGGTCTTTCCTGGATGCAAAACCAACAAGTTTTCCCCGTCATGAGCAAAGACGGGTGTACTGATGAATGCTTATTTTGAGTGTGACGTGGAATTCAATGACTTTTCTAAACCAAGCGTTTCCCTGTCTATTTTCTATAGGTGGCCAATGCAGGAAATGGAAGTAGAAGACTATTTTTATGTTTAGCCTGTGTGTTAAAATCAGAGTGACTGATCATTTTTAAATATAGGCTCAAATAAGGTTTCTCAGTGAACTCGGTCTTTAAGAAACATTAGATGTGGTATTTGCTCAAATTTGTAGGGAAACTGGTATTAGGACAAATAAAAATGTGTAATTTTATCAGTAAATATGTATATGTGAAAATAAAACTCAGTTGAGGGAGCAATAATCTCTAAAAATCTGCTTAAGATGGACATTTAGCATACGGTCATTAGTGGAGATACGGGCATCAGATTAGTATATTTTAATCATGCAGACAGAATCAAGAAGTGAGAAGTTAAGAGTTTAGTTCATTTCTAGAAGCTGTGAAGATGAATGACTTCATGCTTAACCATCAGTTTGAAATGCTCAACCTGGAGGGGAAACTTAAACTTAAATGGAAAATCCACTTTTTGGAGATTTTTATACTGTGATGTTATTTCCTTATGAAAAAACAAGATTTTTATACTGTGATGTTATTTCCTTATGAAAAAACAAACAAACAAAATAAATTAGGCTGAATTCATGCATTTTCCTAGCCTGGCCTGCCAGACTCCTCCTCTGTTAAATTCTGCACAGAGAAAGGGTCTGGGAACCCTCCTATTCAAATAACCCCACCCAGTGAGAATTCTAACCGAGCCAATCAGTGCTGAGTAGCGTACGTCACACACCATAACGCCGAATTTGTCGACCATAACGACTGAAGAGAAGTTCACTGCGGCTCTTTCCTCTGTTCTAAATGACTTGGACACATCTTTAAAACCACAACAAGGAGAAGCGCTAAAAGCCTTTCTGCTAAAGAAAGATGTTTGCGCTGTCGCCAGACGCCACATTTACTACAGCTATAAAACCACAGCGTCATTCATGCGGTACAGTCAGCATTTCCGTCTTTTTTCTGATTGGTTATTTTTGAGCTGCCTAGTCCCGCCCCTCATGTGCCTCTCTGCCTGTGGGTTGCCAGACTCTTTCTCTGTGCAGAATTAAACCGAGGACGAGTCTGGCAGACCAGGCTAGCTTCTTCCTATCTCGGCTGCAATTTTTCAGACTCTGAGGATGAACCTGCAGACACCAGGATGGAAACCAAGTGCGTCATTAGGCATTTCTCCTCCTCTTGAAGCTAGTCTCAGATCTGAAACCCGCCTCCCCTGGAAGTAGGCCACTAATGCCCACTTTTTCCTAGCTGCTAGTATAGAGCAGTTAATCTCAAGAATCTGCAGAATGTTGTAGTCTGACCTTCATGTCTCAGATGACTGCTTTAATTAGCTCCACCAGTAACAGAGTAGATATTCTGACAAATTACTTCTGTGTTGGAGAAAAAAAAAACACCACCCATAACAATTAATCTTGTACACAAAGTAATGGCCTGCACAGGACACGTCTTAGGTGACTAAACCTTTGTAAAAGGTTTGGTGGGTTAGCGGATCGAGCACCGGCCTCGGAGGCTGTTTTGCCATGACCTTACAACAGTTCGAATCCTGAGCCCTTTCTTCAAGACACAATGTGCCGGAAAATTAGTGTAATATTACAGCAAATGTGTGTCTTATCAATGCACCACATAGTGAAAGTAAACACGAGCAGAACGTTTTGAACAAAATAAGCCGAGATGGCAAACTGGAGCACTGCAGCAGCTTCTCTCCTTGTTAGAGCTGGAAGTCAGATCACCTGAGACTGCACGGGGACTGTGCGGGACAGACACCTTTCGGAGCTGGGATCGAACCTGCAACCGTCCAGGACATCCTGCTTCAGCTGGCTAAATAAATTACTGCTGACACGGGAAATTTAACCAGCGTCAGCACATGACAAAGCAAGATGAAAGGCAGACACTGTCACCACTAGACCACCAAACCCAATATGACAATTGAATGCAGCTGTTGTACAAACGTTCTGTTAGCGTGGGCAGAAGACGCTTTCTTCTCAGTTGTTGCTTCGTGGTGGCCCATGACGCTTTGTGGGTTACGTAATGAATGGGTGGCGCTCTGGCCGCTGGAGGAGGGGTTAACTGAAGCAAACGGGTTCATTTCCGGGTACAGAGCCAGGCTGACAAAAATAACTAATATTTAAGATAAAATGTAATCTCAATAGTGCAACTGGTATATACTCTGCATACTTTTGCTCTCCAAGGTTTAAAACAGCATGATCTGCTCTTTTAAAGGAGCAGGTTTTCTACAGGAAAGGTAAAGTCCAGACCAGGAAATGCTCAGCTGTAAGGAGCAGAAGCTAAAATACAATTCCAGAGTGTCCATAAAAGACATGAGCACTTAGGCCCTCTCCTCTTAGATTTAAGTAGCCACGGAAATGCTCAAAGCCAGAGAGCTGCTACAGCAATACCTCTAAATATGGAACACTTTTCGTTGCCTCTTAGAGAACACGCTTTGAGCACAAAAAATAAAATAAAATAATAATAAAAAAAAAAAGATACATCACTTGGCTCAAGAAAAAAAAACCCTGGTCTTATTCTGTAAAGCCCAGCTTTGAAGCAGGTTACTAACGTAAAGGTGCGTATTACACCCGCTGTGCAGCTGTAGCTCACACACATCCGACTGGTGCTTTGCTCCATGGCGAATCAGAGGAGTGCTTTATTAAGCCTGTGGTGAAAAAAGACTTACATGTTTTAATTCACTGAACAGTCAGTTCATGTTCCCCTCCTCACTCATCTCACATTTCTGCCTGAATTAGAACGGTTTTATTGGACTGAACACATGATTTCTCACATCACTAAACCTGGCCCAAAAGCACGCAGCAACTAAAACACATTTCATCAGGGAGGGCTTTAAAAGGAGGGTCAAATGTTGCATGTTAGCTTGATCCAGAATGGGCTAGCAAAGAAAATGTAGAAAACAAGCACTAGAGCAGTGTTCCCCAACCCTGGTCCTCAAGACCCACTGTCCTGTTTTTCATGTTGTCTTGTCAAACACCAGTGTTTCCCTGATGCCACACACCTGACTTAAATGGCATCCTTGATGTCCTCCTAAAGAGGCAATGTGAATACCAGGTGTGCTGAAGCAGCGACATGGTAAACATGTAGGACAGGTGTCCTGAGGACCAGGGTTCGAGAGCACGGCATGGATGGATGTAATACTTTGTAATACTTCACTATACCGGACAAAGACATCTACCGTTGTCCACTTTCCTCTCTTCTGCCAGGAAAGCCACAGACCAGTGTAGCCCCTTTGTACAGCATGGGGATAACTGGGCGTTCTCTCTCATGAGCATTTTTTTCATGACTTGAAGAGGGCGGTTCTTTCCTGAAATTCAGAAACCTCCTCTGCCGTACCTTTAAGTGACAGTGTGATGTACATCTGTCAGGCTTGATATTTGCTGGGATGTTGTTCCAAAATTGACTTCCTCTAACGGACAGTACATGGTGGTCATGAAGGGATGGACATGGTCAGAAACAATGCTCAGGTAGCCCGTGGCAGTTAGACGATGCCCAATTGGCACTAAGGGGCCGAACGTGTGCCAAGAAAACATCCCCCACACCATGACACCACCACCACCAGTCTGCACAGTGGTAACAAGGCATGATGGATTCGTGTTCTCATTCTGTTTACGCCAAATTCTGACTCTACCATTTGAATGTCTCAACAGAAATCGAGACTCAGACAGGCAACATTTTTCCAGTCTTCAACTGTTCAATTTTGGTGAGCTTGTGCAAACTGTAGCCTCTTTTTCCTATCTGTAGTGGAGATGAGTGGTACCCGGTGGGGTCTTCTGCTGCTGTAGCCCATCCGCCTCAAGGTTGGGCGTGTTGTGGCTTCACAAATGCTTTGCTGCATTCCTCGGTTGTAACGAGTGGTTATTTCAGTCAAAGTTGCTCTTCTATCAGTTTGAATCAGTCGGTCCCTTCTCCTCTGACCTCTAGCGTCAACAAGGCATTTTTGCCCACAGGACCGCCGCATACTAGATGTTTTTTTCTTTTCACACCATTCTTTGTAAACCCTCGAAATGGTTGTGGGTGAAAATCCCAGTAACTGAGCAGATTGTGAAATACTCAGACCAGCCAGTCTGGCACCAACAACCACGCCACGCTCAAAATTGCTTAAATCACCTTTCTTTCCCATTCTGACCTTCAGTTTGGAGTTCAGGAGATTGTCTTGACGTCCAGGTAAACCACCAAATGGTTCCCGAGCGCGGCTGTGTCTGCAGCTCACCACTCCCCCAGGGGATGGGTTAAATGCAGAGAACAAATGTCGCACACACATCCGTGTGTGTGACAACTAATGGGACTTTGACTTTGATGCTCAAGATGCTGACAAAGCTAAAGGTCTACTGCTATAGCTGTCACAGTTTAACTTTGTGGCTCACATGATGAAGGATGTACTGATGCATGTGGTCTTTCTCTCAAAACATTTTCAAAGACAAGATCTGGACTTCTCCACAGCACAGCCAATGGTTGAAGATACCAAAGAGGCCCTGAAAGTAGTAATAGTCCACCCTGGCCCTGTTGAAAGGGAATTCTTCAGCTCTCTTGAAGGAAGCAAGACTACAGGAGACAAGACTTTTGACTGCCACACAAAAAACAGCCTTTAATGACATGAAGAGCAGGTATATTGGACCAATAAAAGAAATCAAGAGAAGATTCCCCTCCGAGACACTGGATGTTCTGTCATGGTTTACAATTTCGGAGCCTAAAAAGGCTACTGTGGCAAAAAATCATAATTTTTCTCCTGATGGTGTAGAAACACTCGACAACCTACTGGCACACTTCTCAAACGATGTCAATTTAGTGGACGCACGCTCAGAGTTTTGCTAAAGCAAGCTATGGTTTCCAGTGACTCGTACGCCTCGTTGGTCTTTCAGCAGTTTGCAGGGGCTGTCTTGAGTGACCACAGAGGTGTGTTCACTGAAATGGAGGCGCTCATCAAGGTTGCTTTAGTCATACCAATTGCCAGTGTCATGCGAACATGGATTCAGCACACAAAACAGGACAAAAACAAGATCCAGAAATTCACTGTACAACACAAGCCTCACCAATCTGATGCTGATTTCAGAGCTTGGCCCCCCTCAAGAGCAGTTTGATTTTAACAGAGCGCTCATCAAATGGAAAGGAATGAAGCAGAGGAGACCCAGGACCAAACAGAGCATGGGAGAAGAACCCTCCAAAAGTAATTATTACTCTGATGCTGCAGAAAAAGCTACCGAGTTACATCAATGTATATAGTTGAAATCATTTTGATGCCTCTTAGGAAGAAACTGTTAATGTGAAAATTTAGATTAAAAACAATAATCAGCTGGAGAAGATGAGATTCAGAGGCAGAAGACAGAGAAAGGAGAGGATGGAGACACAAGGCAAAGAAGCACGCATTTTAACAAGGTTTTTAAATTTCAATAAAGTTCTTTATATAGAGAAAGGTGCTGTGTTAAGAGGCCAAGAAAATATTAGGGCATGGAGACAAAAGACAAGATGGAAACAGGATTACCACTAGGGTTCAGCAGTCTGAGGTGAGGATATAGAAATTCCATGCTATCGTTCTTTTTTAAAACACAGAAACGTCAGCCTGAGGAAGTCTGCAGCCGCAGGCGAAACGTAGCGAAAAAACAGGTAACGAAACCGTTTCTGTGTTTTAAAAAAGAACGATAGCATGGAATTAGAAACAAGACACAGCAAGAACACACCTAAGATGTTCAAGGATATAGAAATGTTACGGTCTATCATTAATCTCAAGTAGCTCCTGGAAATTGTTGTTCGCTTACAAATATTTTTCCCTTTAACCCCAGTCCTATTGAGGAATGAAATCTCACAGAGAAAATTAAAGAGGATGACAACAGAAAACAACAATTATAATGCAGAAGGAGAAAGCTGCATGTAAAAGTGAGGCATGATTAACAACGCGAGACCTCAATTACCCCCCCCCCCCCCCCCCCCCAGTAAAAATCCCCCCACAGAAAAACAGGTGAGGGGGAATTCCCCCTATTTTCAAAAGTCAATTTCAAGCCCTGTGAACTATGTTAAAACGTCATAAAGAGACATGACTAAAATGTTAAAAGATCGTTTGTTTGCCAAATTCGCTGCTGCAGCTTTAAATTCAGCCTTAATATCTGCAATTATCGTCTGGCCTTTAGTATCGCAATTTATCGTATGGCCTCCGCTCACACACCCTTAGTCTAAATGTATAACAAAAACCCTGAGAGTGGTAAGCTTTTGGTAACACGTGAGAAGATGCTGAAAAGATAATTGCTTTTATTTAAAATGTATTACCGTTGTTCACACTGATACTGATCAGTAGGCTTAAAAATAGACTTCAATGAAAGCAGAGTAAAAGGAAAAATCTTTATTCACAGCAGTCTAGTAAGTGAGAGTTAGCGTACCTCTTGTTCCGTCAAACTGAAGTGAGGAATAAAAGTCTCCGCCTCTCTAATCTCAACGCTGCAGCCTTCCAGGAGGCCCAGGCGCCTCTTCCTGCTGGGTGTTGCTCGCGGGTTGTTTTCTTTCCCCACACTACAGCTGATTCCATCTGAGAAGCAAAGACAAGCAAAAGAACTGCATCAAAGAGGGTAATTACATTACCAGAAAAACAAGTGGGACTTGGGGATACCATGATTAAATAAAAATGAAATGCCATTTCAAATAAACACATAAAAACCAGAGATTAAGGAGGAAAAAAACACTGGCTTGAGCTAACAGCTTGGAAAGTGGCCCGTTTACAGAGCTGACCACGCTCAGATGAAATGACTGCAGTAAGACGCTGTCAGAGTCAAGCTTAAAGTGAGCTATCCACTGTGCCTCCAGACATCCTAAAGAAATCTTACTGGCATAGATCCTTATGGAGAAATGAAACTATTAATCCCGTGGCGTTAGGGCTGCCTCACCAGACAGATAATCTCTTGTCATGATGCATCCTCCAGTGTTGCTGTCCTGCGCTGGCTCTGGATCACAGGCATCACTCTCCACCACATCCATCACCCTCTGGAAAGAGGCCATCTTCTGCCTCAGTGTGGAGGCAACACGGGGAAAGAAGGGGCTACTTCTGACAATCTGAGGGTTGAAGTGACAGAAATAAACACATCTATGCAATGATGCAACTTGACAGCTCATAAACCTCTGAAATCACAAAAGTGGTATTACTGTGAGCAAGCACATCCATCACACACAACCCAGGAGTGTGTGGCGTCCTAATTTAGTCATCTTCCGACAGGAAAATAACATTAAGCCACCTGATTTTTACATTGCATTCTCAGAGTACCATGGTTCCAGTAGGATCTGGAGAACCACTTTCCTTATTGTAACTCACCTCAGGTAGACTTGGGACTCGGTATAAACCACCAAATGCCCTCAGGAACTTCTTTAACCACTTCTTCAGCATTATGCATCTAAGCTCATTCAAGTTTTAAAACTAAACAATTTTGAAATAAAATGATTACTAGCAAGGTATTTAAATTCTAAGTGAGAGAATGTTGCTGCGTCATGTTTGCTAAGGCCCACCTCCGGTTTCTGATTAGTCAGTGATGAGCCTTCTTCAGCAACAGCTGACAGAAGCTTCTGGTAGCCTCCCATTTAAAAACCAAATCAAAACTTTTTACTGGTAAAAATTCTGGTTAAATTCTGGAGTTGGAATCAAAAGACAAATAAGAATGTAAGTTTGTTAGAATCAGCCGTTTGTGTGTGTAGTTTCACTTTAAAGAGCAAGTCACCCCCAAACCAAGTATTTTTTGCTGATAAACTATACAAATGTGTGTCTAATCGTGCTGCAGACACGTGTAGTCAATAGTTTTGCAATTTAGTTCAAATTTAAATTTTCTGCCTAAAACTGTCAGTGTTGTGTCATTGTCAGATAAAAACTCTGCACTGCATTTGAATTTAAATCTGCCATTGCTATTGGCTAAGAAGTACACAATGATGTTAGATGGTACATTATGACGTCTCAATGTCGTTGTGAGCCTGTGTGTGTGTGTGTTAGCGGCTCCGCCCTCTCGGTCTGCTAGGCAACAGCATTTGTTGCATTTTTCAAACAGGAAGTGGGAGTGGAGTAATACTTTGGTAGGGGGTGACTTGCTCTTTAAATAAACTATCCACAATAAGGACCTACAGTACACACACACACACACACACACACACACACACACACACACACACGATTGAGCTAGTATTTATTTCAGTTGAGAAAAAAAAACTTTTAACTGTAACACCTTAGCAGTGGTGCTAGTTGCAAATTAATATTTGGTGTTTTGAATTACGTGAACTAAAAATAAAAGTTTTTAAAGCATTTAAATTGATCTGAAGCCCACACTTTTGCCTTTTGCAATAAAGGTTTACTTTTCAAACTCTAAACTCAGAAAATTTCAATTGAAACATCCAAAAGTGCTGCTCAGATCGAAGTTACACATCTCCACTATCTCTGGTGTAAAGTAATACCTTCATAGGGGATTCCATTTGCAGCCGTGGCTCATTAACTGCAGTATTGTGACTTTGATGCTTAAAGGGCTAATTTTACAGTCCTTCTAATGCTAAGGTTTTAATTACTGACATAATTTATTTCTGTGTTTCGGTTCCCAGCCTCGGTTTCCTCGTTTTCAGTTTTGGCGAAGAATTTTCATTTCAGTGCATCCCTAAATGTAACCGTTATGTAATCCAGAACTAGACCACCAAATGTAAACAGAGCTATTTTAATGTGCATTTATGAGATTAACATTTAAATGTTAGTCATCAATATCTATGTCACCCGCCATAACAGACTGATCTAGAATCACTTAAATGTTGCATGCTGTCAGTATTTTGAGTTTTCTAGTACCGTATTTTCACGACCATAGGGCGCACCGTGTTATAGGGCGCAGCTTCAGTTACGGGTGTCTTTTTGGTATTTAACACAACCAAAAGGCGCACCGGGTTATAGGGCGCAGGCGCGGGCACGGTAAAACGTACCGGTAAAACATCTGTGCGGGCTCGGGACTCGGAACACATCAGTGCAAACCAGACATTGTGAAAATTATAAACAGCCAAAAGCATGCTTCACTTTACTGGTCTAGTCCTGGTTCAGACCTGGTTTAGCGCGCACGTGCACTTTAGTATCGTGCTCGTGCTCTTCTAATGGGCTCGACACACGGGAGGCAACTTCGCCTCTCCTCCATTCATTTTCAATGAGACACGCGCGACAAAGCGATAATCGCGGGTCTCCCTCCTACTAAAGCCGGGCGTACACCGGGAGCGCTGCAGGAGGACACACAGGGATTTATGGGGGTTGGATGAGGAAAACGAAATAAAGAAAGTAAATCTGTGTTTTGTGATCAGTTTAATTTCACATGAACACGACAAGCACGCTTTCTTGACAATCTTTGTGAGTAAAAAAACGTGTAGAAATAAAAACGAACAGCGTGTGTTATTAGGGAAATAGCGGGCGAGCGGTGTTGATGCATGATTGCGCATGCGCCGTGAGCGGTTCTGGTACTTTTTGGGTCGCAGCTGCTCGCAGCGCCGCTTCAAGCGCTGATGCGCTGCGTTGAAGTTCAGAATGTGTTTACTGGTAGTTGTTGGATTTAACCACATAAACTTTCCACATGAACAAAATCACATGTGTGTTATTAATAGGCCTAAGAAAATAGTGTGATTTGAATTGTGTTTATTAACCCTCTGGGGTCCATGGACGCGTATCCGCGTCTTTAGATCAGGTCTGATTTGGGACGCTGTAGCAGCAAGACTCCGCCTCCCTGAGTTTCGGTTTCAATTCAGCTTTAATCAGGAGATTATAAACTACACCCCAGTTTTTACACGTTGTAAATAGGCAACGTAAAAGCGAAGTTATACTAAACTAAAAAACGACCCATTTTTAGACAATCTGATAACTTGTCAAAACAGCAGTTTAGTAATCCGTGAGAGGGAATGAGATCCTTTTGCTGTTGGTGGAAGTCTCACATATTCAATTGATAAAAAGTATCATTATGTAGCTGAGAGAGAGAGGAAGGCTGCATGAGTAACGAGATGTGAGCAAAAAGAAGCCGCTTCGCAGGTAAAGGAGTGGCGCGAACGGAGTAACAACAAACAATTAGACAGATATTGACGGTAAACTTCATATTTTGGAGCGATCCAGACAGATATATTGTCTCTGCAGTTTAGTAGGCTTTTATTAGGCTTTAATAAAGGACGATGAGAAGGATAAATGTCCACCAGGCAGTTCAGATAGCACGGCTGTTTTTTGAACTGGAAGCAGAGGAAGTGGGCGGAGACTCACAGCCGGAGTCTGAGGCAAATAGCGAGGATGTTGGTGATGATGTGGCGGATCCACAGGTCTGTCTTCGCTCACGTCCGCACGTTCACGCCACGCCCCTTGTCTTCTACTACGTTTGCGTCTCACAACAACACAATAGGCGCACCGCACCATAGGGCGCCGCGTACATTTTGGAGAAAATTTAAGACTTTTAGGTACTTTTAGGTGCGCCTTATGGTCGTGAAAATACGGTAAACCCTTGTAGATAATTTAATTCTGTTTAACACCATTTAATAAATGACACAGTAACAGCAGTGGGTCCATCTTATTCCGATCTGCTCTACACAAATAATGCTTCGAGCTCATAATGATGCATGCTGGTCTCCATATCAAAGCCTCTTGAGTCTGCTTCCCAGGCTAATTATCGCTGCTCAAAGCCGCTCAGCTTGATCAGTGGAATTCTGTGCATTTGTCCTAAATAGGATGGATGTGATCCTCCGTCTGCCCCCAGGACATCAGACGCTAATTTTAATCAAGCTGATGTGAATTTTGACAACGTGCTTTTCAGGACCCTCTGCTGATACACAGAAAACGATAACTGTGCATCACTTACAGGCTGCCTGATGGAAGCCCAACTAAAAATATCTATAAAACTCTTTGACAGGTACTGGATAAAGTGGAAATGATGCTTCTAGTAATCAGTGAGGTGGGATCAAACCCACTTTATGAATAATATAAAGTAAAAATAAAGCACTTACACTGAAGCAAACCCTTGCATTAGCCCGCTGGTTGGACAATTAACAGATGCAGAGACATTTACAGTAAATAAAAGTCCACACACCATTTAAAGAGGTGCATCGGTCGTTGCATGCTTCACTCATATCCAGTAGTGAAGCAGCAGGCATCCACCTCAACCATCATCACTACGACAGCTGCTCGCTGACTTAAGGTGACACATCCACCTGCTGGTACACTTTCTCACAGCATTTTTAAATTAAAGCGAGACAGCTCACGCGTCTCACCTCCTATGTTTGTCCTCAAGTACTCATCGTTTTGATAGATTTTAATTACATCTCCTTAATCCCGCTTCTTCTACAATTTGATGTCACCGTCACTCGTTTTTCTAGTGATGCCTATCTAACGAAACCTGAATTATAATCACATTTAAATGTAAGCCACAAAAGCAGAAAAGCTTGGCAACTTGGAAAAACAAACGTATAGGAGATTAGGACAGTTACACAGACATGAAATGAATATAAGAGAAGAGCATAACTAAACTGGTATCAAGAATTAGAAGAGCTGCTGTAAACACCACCCTCCCATCAACAATGGTGTCTTGAAAGTGAGAAAGGTTGTACCTCGGGTGTTTTTAGGTTTGGTGGGGTCTTCTTCATCCTCTGTTGTGCGATGAAACGAATAAGGGAATTTGTCTCTGGGGAGCCTCGTGCACCAACGTTGGACCTTCGCCTTGCCTTAATCTTTGCAAGACAAGACTTATCTAAAACAAGCAAAAATACCGTTTCAGCACAATTTTAATACTCATTTGGAACTAAATGCAAGAAATACACATTCTTGTCGACATTACCCCTTTATGCTGAGTTTATCCTCATAATTTTATGATTTCAGGTCTGTCACATGCAGTAGTCCAAACAACACGTCTTCCCTTTCCTTCCAGCTGATTTAACCCTCCTACTGTCTTTATTGGTGACCCAGCGAGGAAAGTTGACCATTGAGCAGGATTGATGGTTTATCCCTTGAGGTCCACGTGGCAGGGGTGAGGTGGTGCTCACTCCTCACCCCTGCCACATGGATCCAAGGGATAAACCATCAACCCTGCTCAGTGGTCAACTTTCCTCGCAGGGTCACACCCATTAGGACAGTGGGAGGGTTAAGGCAGCACAGTGACTCAACTCCACCTTCCTTCTCTCCTTGATGGTACATCATTTGTAAGCTAATGTAAAGACAGCTGCTTGCTCAGCACCACCGTGTGTTTCCTCTCCTCCCACTAGCTCTGAGGGCATGTAGTTAACTTAATATCGCTCGTTTACAGACAGCTGCGTGTTTATGATCTGTACGTCATCTTGACTGTTGTTCATTATTAAATAAATAACTAATAAAAAATAAAGCTGTTTTATTTATATAACTGTTAGTGAATGTTTACAGGTGAGCTCCTCCTAAAAGCTCTCCTGACAGAGCAACTTGATGTTGGAGCTTAATACTATGTCCAAGTTTGCCTTCTTTCTTCATTTACACTATGTTTATGTATTTAGCAGACGCTTTTGTCCAAAGCGACTTACAAGTGATAATCGGCATGTTGCCCTTGAGGCTAACAACAACAAAAACAACAACTTGACATCAATCATGGAGAGGAGGGAACAAGGAGTGGACAGTAGAGAGGGGGGACGAGTGCAGGGAGGGTGCTAGTTAAGAAGATGCTCTCTGAAGAGCAGTGTCTTCAGGAGTTTCTTGAAAATTGAAGAGGAAGCCGCAGTTCTGGTAGTGCTTGGTAGGTCATTCCACATTTGTGGAACGATGCATGACAAGAGTCTGGATTGTCCTGAGCGTGGTGTAGACACTGCTAGCCGATGATCCTGTGATGACCGGAGCGGCCGGGCCGAGACGTAAGCCTTTGCAAGAGGATTCAGGTAGATGGGAGCCGTACCATCTCGGACTTTGTATGCTAGCGTTAGCAATTTGAATTAGATGTGTGCTGCTAGCGGTAGCCAGCGGAGCTCAATGAACAGAGGGGTGACGTGTGCTCTTTTTGGCTGATTGAAGACCATACACGCCGCTGCGTTCTGGACCATTTGAAGAGGTCTCACAGTACAGGCTGGAAGACCAGTTAGAAGGGCATTGCAGTAATCGAGGCGGGAGATGACAGTAGATTGCACCAGGAGCTGGGTGGCATGTTGTGTTAGGTATGGTCTGATCTTTCGTATGTTATACAGCACAAAGCGGCATGAACGAGCAACAGAGGTAACATGATCTTTAAAGGTCAGGTGTTCATCAATCACAATACCCAGATTTCAAACTACCTTTGAAGGAGCCAGAGATAGGAAGTCATTTTGGATTGAGATATTGTGCTGTATGGATGGTTTTGCTGGGATGACAAGTAGTTCAGTTTTAGAGAGGTTGAGTTGGAGATGGTGGGACTTCATCCATTTTGATATGTCAGAGAGACAGTTTGATATTCGTGCTGAGACAGTGTGGTCGTCCGGTGGAAATGACAGATAGAGCTGGGTGTCGTCTGCATACAGGGTATATACAGCAATCCTTAAGTAAAATTTACTACTTTTTAATACTTTTTTTTACTACCTTCAGAATTTTTTTAAAACCATCACAACACTAAATTGCAAGTGTTAATCAGCGACCTATTTACACATTTTTTAACATATATAACATACAAAAAGAATAGACTTAGAGACTCACTGATGTTGACAACGTATTGCACATATTTATTTTACTTAGAAAATAAGCCAGGCACTTCTGTTCAGCGGTTCAGACAGTTGACCACGAGGCCTGAAATGATGCACAACGACCACTAAATATGACGTCATCATTATGTGACCGGATATGCTAAAGTAGGGCTGCTCGATTATGGCAAAAACAATAATCACGATTATTGTGACTGAAATTGAGATCTCGATTATTTAAGACGATTTTTCAATTTATGTAGATTTTTATTTTTTTTATTTTTATTCAGTCATAAAACTGCTCAGGGCACAATCAGGGCAAAAATAAACAACAAGATGATCACTAAAATAACTCCTGATTCCCAGTATAAAAAGACCAATATACTTATAGCTCAGTTTATGACCCAAGGGCTATAGACCTTGGTTTAACTCATTTAACTCTAACCAGTACAGACCCAAATACCAATATCTTGCAAATACTGACAGCAAGAATTATACTGTGGCATTTATAACAAATAAATGCAAATTGCTGTTCACTAAATGTTGCATAGCATTTATTTAGTCGTGTCAAGGTGCTGTAGGAGAGTACACTAGCACCGTGTCCTCAGAGAGATTAGTTATTATTTATCAGCGTGAGGAACTTATTTCTACCTTATTTATAAACTATTTATTTACAAGTCCATCAGTTAATGTAATAATTGTCCCAACCACAGCTGCACCCCCCACCCCCCAACCCGGTCTCAGCAATCAGGGGCAAGCTGCACGTGTGTTTAGCGCGCCGCACGCGCACATTTAGCCGTTTTTATCGGCTCAGGAGTCCGCAGGTGCGGTGTGTGTCACTCACTCTGGTTACTCCAACAGGGAGCCGGTGTTGTGTCAGAACAGCATACCTGTCAGAGGAGCATACTTGCAGATAATGCGCATGTGCGCGCATGCGCATTACTCGACAACTCCGGTACGTTCTACAGAGGCGTTAGATGAGCATACGGACTAGAAAAGATCGGCGAAAAAGTGAAACTACGACTAAAATGTAAGTAATTCATTTATATTCTTTAATGTTAACACATTATTTGATATATTTTGTACTTTAGTCACAGTTTTCAGTGTGCAGTGCATTTTTTTTGACTGCCAATTTCTGCACGTAATTTAATCGCTGATGAAACAACTAAACTTTGATGCCTGAACGTCATGTAACGGCTATGAAACATATAAATAGTAACAAGAAGTAAAAAAAAACAATACAAGACCAACAATTATACAGTCCGTGAGGAAATTAAAGTCAGCATTTTAAAGACGAAAGGGGCTATTTTAATAGATTCATATAATATGAACATGTTTCTAATTCCGTGTTCCTCCTGAAAAAGTTTTGTTTTTGACTAGAAATATGATTAAATAACATGTCTGACTACTATGTTAGTGAGTTTTTTATACTTTATTTCTGCTTGCTTAAACTATTTTGCTACTTGTTTTAAAAACGCAGGAATGTGATTAAAACTACAAACCAGGAAGCATAAAAATATCTAGATATAAACCAACACATAAAAAGATTTGTCTCTATTAAAGTGAAACATGTTAAAAACCATATTTCTTTTATGTATCTACCCGTAAATCATAATTTTGTAAGGAAGCACACAGATAAGAATGGTATAAGTATGGAAATACCACACAGACAGAGAGGAAAGCTCTACAAAGAGTCATAAAGTCTGCAGAGAGGATCATAGGAATAACACTTCCTTCCATGGACTATGTGCACATACAACACTGAATTCCAATGTGCAGGGACTGTTGATCCGTGTGCAAATGGCAAATAAATGTCTTCAGTCTTGAGATAAGAAACATTTTAGAAGTAAAAAATTGTTTGAATGCTGCCTCGTCATATTTATAATAATTTACTTCCTCAACATGCGGTTGTTTTCAGTGTATATGAACATAATTGACTGTATAATTATTTTTTTTAAATCAGAAGTTTTAATTTTCAAATTACTTCCTTGTTTTCATTTTTTACAGTAAAATGGAAGGCAGATGGGATGAGATATTTAATCTCCTTACCAAGGGTTCCTATCTGCTGCACTACACCAAAGGACAAAGGCAAAGCCTAAGGAAATATGCCTCTAAATTCAGCATTCATGGTAAGTTGTTAAGATTTAAGCATACATCACATTTTCTGATAATACGCCATGTGACTAATGTGTAAATTCTTTCAATAAAGCTGGGGGTCTATTCTTTGGACCCTTGCCTAGGCGAAAAGCCATTAAATCAAAAGAGGAGGCTTGGACCAACTTTAGGGAAATCCATTCTTCAAAAATGGGAGGACACAGTGGCATTGTGAAAACTCGCAAATCATTGTGTTCGAAATTTTATTGGCATGGTATGACTGCAGACATTGAGAAATGGGTATGTTACCTCATTGTTAGCAATCTCTAATATACAATATTTATAAATTTCATAAAACAAAATACATTTTCTAGCTGTCTGAATGTGACCATTGCCAAAGAGTTGGACCTCCACTGAAGGTAGTCGAAACACTGGATTGCATCAAGGTGACTGTCCATTGTAATTCTGTTAGTTTATTACTTCTATGTTACTTCTGTTCATAAACATTTAATCTATCACCAACAGGTATCTGGTGTGTGGGAGCTGGTCGGAATGGATCTGACAGGTCCGCTTCCCCAGACCCCTTCTGGCTACAAGTACATATTGACAGCCACGGATTATTTTTCAAAGTGGGTGGAGGCTTTCCCTCTGAAAACCAAGTCTGCAGAGGAAGTCTCCCAAAATGTATGCACGATTTTTTATCGGCATGGCTGTCCTCTGCGCATTCTTACAGACCAAGGGCGAGAGTTTGTGAATCAAGTAAGTTATGTTTAATATAAATTTTTAATTGGCCTAAAAGTCAAATCTGTAAAATAACTAATTATAATGTGCCTCATTGTTTTTTTTTAGATCAACAGCAAACTATGTGAGCTCCTTTCAATTGAGAGGAGTGTGACAGCAGCATATCACCCGCAGACTAATGGATTGGATGAAAAAACAAATGACAACATTAAACGGTGAGAAAACAATTACAGCAGTGTCTTGTTTTAAC